CACAAACCCCACCCATCCACTCACCCACCCATCCATCCATCAACTCATCCATCCATCCATCCATCCATCCATCCATCCATCCACTCATCCGTCCATCCATCCATCCATCCACTCACCCACCCACTCATTCGACCACTCATCCATCCACCCACTCACCCATCTACCCAAATCCCCATCCATCCATTCACCCACTCACCCATCCATCCACCCACTCACCCATTCATCCATTCACCCAGTGGCTACTTTGTGAGTCCACTGTGTGCCCGACACTGTTCTAGGCACTGAGGAAACAACAGTGAAAAAGACCTGGTTGTCATGGAAAGCTGGTCCTGGGCCTTCCTGCTCCCTCCTCTCCTGGCTGAGAAGTAAGAACTGTCAGCACTGTAGTAGCTGTCAAGGGCCAGATGGTAAATATTTTAGTCTTGAGGGCCCAAAGGTCTCTACAGTAGCCACTCATCTCTGCCCACGTAGCTTGAAAGCAGCCACAGACAACATGTGTGTGGCTGTGTTATTTTTTTTATTTATTATTATTAAATGTTTTATTTTTAAGCCATATCTACACTCAGTGTGGGGCTCAAACTCACAACTCTGAGATCAAGAGTCTCATGCTCCCCCAACTGAGCCAGCCAGGCACCCCATGGCTGTGTTCCATAATAAAATTTTATTTACAAAAACAGGCCACCTGGGAGTAACCCCTGAAGAAACACAGAACTGGGAAGGACCTCAGAGCCCAGTGGTTTTCAACCATGGCTGCATAGTCAAATCAGTCAGGAAGCTTTATTTTATTTATTTACTTATTTAAAAGGTGACCTGATTTTTTTTTAAGTTTATTTACTTTGAGAGAGAGAGACAGAGACAGAGAATCCCAAGCAGGCTCCATGCTGTCAGTGCAGAGCCTGATGCAGGGTTTGATCTCACAAACTGTGAGATTATGACCTGAGCCAAAGTCAGATGCTTAACTGCCTGAGCCACCCAGGCGCCCCTAGGATCTGATTTTTTGACTCTGGCCAGCCAGCCTCTATCTGTGACCTGAGCTGCCTCTTGGGGCTGGAAGGAGGGCACCTGCTGTCCGTTATTCTTTTCTGTACCAGCTCTCTCCTTCTGACAGGTGGGTTTCCCCAGGTAAGATATAGATGGCCCAATCTATGATCTAAGTTGAAGATGTGATGTTGAGGGCACCCTGAGGGCCCTCTGGAGGAGTGGATTTTGAGCTCATCCGTTTGGGGAGGCAGCAGAGGGCAGTTGTAAATGCAGGCTTTGGAGGGAAACAGAACTCCATTGGTAGCTGCGTGACTTTGAGCAAGTTATTTAACCCCTCTGAGACTGAGTGTCTCCATTTATAGAATAGGGACCATAATACCTGCCTTGCGCGAGAGAGTGTTGTAAGAATTAGAGGAGATTATGCGCACAAATGTTTATCGTCATTCCTGGCACCCACCTCGTGCTAATAAACAGAAGCTATTACAGTATTTTTATTTCATCTCGGTATTAGACTCACTTCTGTGCCTTCCACAGCCTTCTGTGTGGTATGCTTAACAAAGTGAGAGGCAGGAACCCAGCTGGAAGACAGAGGGCATTCCAGGCTTGGGGAATAGTCGAGGGAAGGCCCTGAGGTGGGAATGATTGAGTTGTGATGAGATCCAGCTCCGAGGCGACACTCAAATGTCACCGGCCCTGTCTGTCTCTGCCTCTGCCTCCCAGAACCCATGCCTCTCCCCGCTCCTGAGCTCTGGTTCTCTGCAGGTAGAGTTCTTACTGCTATCTGTTGGTTTAGGGAAATGCTCTCGGTGTGAGAGCAGGCATGCTGTTTATGTTGGAGGCTAGGACCCTGTGTGGCATACAATAGGCACAGCCAGTCGGGCTGTAAGGAGAGTGACTTTCTGATAACCATGGAAGAGTGACAGGGCAGGCAGGGAGGCCTGTGGCCGGGAGGCTAAGGAGCTTCCATTTGGTGCAACGGGGAATGGGAAGCCGCAGTTGGCTGAACTGGGACTTGTAAACAGGAGCCTTCCGGGGGTTCCTGGGGGACCCTGTGCTGCCCTGCCCCAAAGGCCGTGTGCTCTGGGAGGACAGGTGCACCAGCCCCAAGCAGGGAGGGGAGTACGTCCCTGCCCATCACTGCCATATCCTTCCAAGCACATGTTGGATGCGGCTGCTCCTCCCAGAGCTTGCAACCCATCGCCTTGGTCACTGCCAAGGCTGGGCCTAAGGCGTCTGAGCCCAAGGTAACCACTCTGCCTGACAGTGCTGGGCACCATGGCCCAGGGAGGAGGTGAGAAGGAGGAGACAGGTGAGGGAGGGGCAAAGACTTCTCTGTGTCCTCACAAGGCTGGCCTCAGCGATAGGAGAGTCAGTGGGCCTAGAAAGGGACCATGTGCAGCTGTTTTGGGGTTCAGCCATCCAGGACACAAGGGATAACTGCATCCAGAATTCTGATGTCACCTTTTGTGTCTGGAATAATATAGCATCATCTTGACAAAGTGCTTTACTGTGACTTCTCCCAGGCTTCTCCGGCCTCTCTGGTTACTTTCTCGGGGCGCAGAGGTCTTTTCTCAGGTGGGCCACCTGTGGAAAAGGTGTTGGCTTTTCAGCTGGCACTGATGTACCATAACCTACCCATGCCTGACCTTCTCCATCAAGATAAAGTGGCAGAAGGGCCCCCGTCCCCTGGCCCTTCTGTGGCTTCCCCTGGGATCGGGGCGTCATGGGGAGGTGGTCCAGGAAGCATGCCTTGTGATCTGCCTCCAGGGGTGCCACTCATCCTCTGCACCTTGAGGTTTGTCCTCCCCCAAGAATCCCCTCCCAGGCTGGTGTCCGCTCCGTCCTCGGTACCCCTCGGGTGGAGAGGCTGCAGAATAATCCATCTGGATAGAGAGCGTGGGATCGATGCGCTGTTTTTAGTTCCGTGGGAGAAGTCACAACAAGGGGTTGTAACTTCTCTGCAATTTCTCTCCTCCATCAGGCATCTGTTGGCATGCTGTGAGGAGGTTCTCATCTGAGCACAGGGCTTGTATCTGGATCCAGCCTCATGGATGTGTCCTGGCCTCTTGGCCCCTTCTGCCTCTGCTCTGAACGAGGGGAGCTGTTTAGGCGTCTGTCATCCTTTTCTCCCCACCGCCGCCCCTGCTCTGGCTGACTCACACATGGCCTCCAGCCCTCAGTGCCTTGAGTGGCACCTGCCCGTGCCTCGGTTATCTCTTCTTTCTTTAAAAAATTTTCTTTTAAAATATTTATGTATGCTTGAGAGAGAGAGAAAGAGACAGAGCATGAGCGGGAGAGGGACAGAGAGAGAGGGAGACACAGAATCGGAAGCAGGCTCCAGGTTCTGAGTGGTCAGCACAGAGCCCGACACGGGGCTTGAACTCCCAAGCTGTGAGATCATGACCTGAGCTGTGAGATCATGACCCAGGCGCCCCAGGTTACCTTGTATTTCATGCTCCATCTGAGCCAGTGCTTTCCTTGATGCTTCCCCTGACCTCCAGCACATCTGGTCAGCTTAGTCACCAGTCTGACCGTGTGCCAGGCCCTGTGCTACATCCTGGAGATCTAGAAATGAACAGGGACTCCCTCTGCCCTGGGGAAGCTGGCTGCCCGGGTGGGAGGAGAGGCTCAGAGACTAACACGGGATGCTTGTGCCAAGGCAGAATGTGCCGGGGGCCTTGGAGTTCACAGAGGGAACCTCTCATCTTTTGTAGGAGAGCGATTAGCAGCTCTGGAACTCAGACGGCCAGGGTTTTGCTCCAGACCAGTCAAATATAGAGGGTCTGATATTTGGGGGGGGAAATGATTTTAGATTTTGTAAGTAAAAAATGTTGCTACATTTACCTGATGATAGGACATTCCTTCTATGTGGCAGGATGCCTGATAAGAAGAGCAATGATTTAAAATAGGAAGCTTCCAGATACATATTTAATGATATCTTCCTCCCCACTTCCTCCCTCGCCGTATCGGGGAAAAACCAAGTCGATCTTTGTCCTTGGCGTGGGCGTTACGATTGCCAGTGACAGTTCGGGTAAGAGTGAACCCAGGAACAGGTGCTGCTTGAGCTGAGTCTTGATGGGTGAACGGGACTTTGTCAGCTGGAGGGGTTGGGGAGGTGGAGGGAGTTCTGGGTGAGGGATGGAGGTGTGAAGGTACCCCCCATTTCCAGAAGAATAAACATGGTTTGGTTGGGCAAAGGTTTAAGGGAGAAAGGGCAAGAGATGGTCCTCAAATGGTAGGTGGGGCCGGATCCAGGGGGCTTTAATACCACCCGAAGGGGGTCATGGTTTCCCACCTTCAGGCCTTTGCTCATCATAGACTATGAGCCCCTCAGAAGCAAGGCTAGGACTGGGGTAAGCAAGTGGTGTGCCAAGGGAGCAACGTGTAAGGAGGCACTCACTCTCAGAGCTGTGCCAGAGCAGGGCTGGCCCCCTGAGGGTGAGCACGTCCTTTGTGCACTCTCGGTGCTTTCCTTGCCTCCCCCTAGACCCAGTGCTGCTCAGGAGAGAGGTCACATTGTGTAAATCTTTGTACCCAGAGGACCTAGGACAGTGCCTGACCATAGTAGCAGACTAATAAACGCTTAATTGAATGAATGAATGAATGAATGAATGAGTGGTGTTTTTTTGGTTTTGTTTTTGTTTTTTTCTGTCTGGAATGTGTTTGCCCTCCTCATGGCCAGTCAAGGTGTGTCATTTCTTTTGTGGCTTACTTCTTCCCTGCAGCCCCTCCAGATACACCTCCCCTGTAAGAGTCCTCAGCTCTTACATTGTGTCAACGTCCCATCTCCCAACCAGATTGTGTGGCTGTACTTGGAAGAAGAGGTAACCACAGTGGGTGCTTACACTGGAGGCTGATCAAATCTCAGAATCTTCCCTGGGCAGGCTCAGTAGTTCTAGAATATCCTGGCCCCTTGGATGGGAAGGACCAGCCACCACTGCCACTGTTGCTGCTGTTGCTGCTGTGTAGGGTCTCCTTCCCCTCTCCTTCCCTCCTCTTTATGGGGCCAGACTCAGAAAAGCTTCTGGAGGTGGTGTCTCCAAACTGCTCCTCCACAGTACTACCCACTTACCCAGCCTGCTTCCTCTGCTCAGCCCCTTTGGACCACGGCCAGCTGATCACTGCTCACGCAGTTACGAAGGCCCCAGAGGTCTTTTGAGACACCCACCCCTCCCTGCCCTTCTGACTGATGGGACTCCTCACCAGGTGCGGAACCCATTGGCTCTTGGCTGAGAAATGAGGTTAAACCTGGACACCGCTGGGATATGGAAACTGGGGGATGATTAATGATACTACTCAGGAAGGGTTGAGACATTTGCATTTCTGTCCAGCAGAGGATCTATTTCAATCAGGAAGTTACTCTTGCTGCCCAAAGAAGCAGAATAGTCCCCTCCCACGCTCACTTACTGCTGAAGGGAGGATGGTCACGCAGCATCGTGTGGGCAGTGCAATCACAGAGCGCCCAGGCGGGAGAGCTGAGCTGCACCGACGCGCCCAGAAGGGGGCCACTGCCCCTCATCCATGAGAGCTGGTATCCTGAGAACAATAGCCCTGAGTGCACCGACCTCTGAGGAACGCTGTTGCGAAAGAATCAGTGTTCAGGCGAACGCTGCGCAGTTACAGAGAATGGGACAATCTGCAAAAAGCAACAAAGAACGGGAGACCGTGCCAATTTTTTTGTATGGTGGAAACAGCATGGGGGCCCCCAGAGAAGGTCCAATGTCTGCAAAAGACAGAACAGATTCCACTTTAGTCAAGGAAAGAGCTGGAATATCTCGGTAGCCAATCCTGACCATAGGTTTCTTACCAGCTGCTATGGTTGTTAATTACACCTGAGAGGCAGCGTAATATACGGGCAATGAGCACTGCCATCTTCTAGCTGTGCACCCTCAGGCAAGTTTCTTAACCTTGCTGGGACTTAGTTTCCTCATGTATAAAATGGAGATAATTGTTTCTACCCCATAAAATTGTAAAGATTAAATAAGCCCTTAGAAGAGGGCCTGGCACACAGTGGATGCTAAGTATTAGCCAGTGATGATAATAAAAATATTTTCTGCATCATTAATTACGTTGGCCTTTCATTCTAAGCCTGGAAGGGTTCCAACATTTAAAACATCAATTCTTTGTCCTTTTCATGAAGTCCAAGTTCAAGAACATTTCCAGATGTTATGGATACCTGGGCCAGGTGGCCCTTACCTGACGTAGAAAGCCAAGATTCTGGAGCCCAGAAAGGCAGGCCAGGTAAGCAGCACCACCCCCTTCCTAGATCCCATCCTTTTTAAGGTCCATCCCTATGTGCTTGGGTTCAAGTCATACAGACACAGCGCACCCTGGCCTTTTGGAGCAGGCTGAAGGCAGCCATGGACCCTACCTCACATTCTGAGTGTCTGCTTCTCTTAGCAATGGTGGAGAGCTTTATCTTCCTGGTGGGAGGCACTGGCAAAGTAGAAGGAAGAAAGGTTCAATATTTGGCTGGCATATGTTTGTTTGTTTTTTCCCCATTCCCCTGTGCAGGAGTGGGAAGAGCAGGCCCAGGATGGATTTTCTGTCATCACTGCTCAGGGTCTAGGAGCTGGAGCAGTGTGGTATCCCTACCCGGCCCGGCAGCTGAAGGTGAGAATATAATAAACAGGCAGCTGCTGGAGGGGAGGTGAGAGAAAGGGCAGGTGGGGATGGGGTGCTTTGAACCTGTTCTGGGCTCCCCTGACCCTGGCCTGGGCAGCAGCTCTGTGGAAGCGATCTGGGAGTCCTCATGCACCCAGGCAGGTCTCCCCTCCTGGGTACCTTGCCTTACCATCCTATTTGCCGTATTGTAACTGTTGGTGGAGAGGTGTGCTAGATTGTTGGGGCTGCTGATTGGGTCTGTCCCCAAGGCCTTCCCACTCCCTTCTTCATTGATCAGACTTTCTTGGCCAGGGGAACAGATGCCCTTGTGTCTCCCAACTCATCCCCTCGGACCACTTCCAATGGTGGTGTTGGACAGTTCAGTTCCACCCCAAGCAACCGCCACCTGGCCTCGAAGTGCTGGAAGCTGGTTCAGCCCTTGCACAGGGCAGCCTGGAAGGGCAGGGGTAGGGTGGGGGCAATCCTTAACCACTGGGGAATAAGGATAGGCGGAGAAGTATTTCAGCCTCCCGTCCTTCAGGGCTCAATCCTGCAGTGTATTCCACATGGTGTCCGGTGCTAAGCAGCCCAATAACTCACCCTTCACTGTGTGTGAGAGAGAGCGGGGCTGTGGTGAAAAGAGGAGAGATGAGCAGGGGCAAGAGAGGGCTGGGGAGAGTCTTGGTGTCCTGAGCCCCTCGTGTGAGCTCCAGGGGTTCCCGTTCCTGTTGCTTTTCCCCAGCGCTGGATCCCCGGAGCCTTCCCAGCAACAGAGACAGCAAATGTCCCGAAGTTGGTGTGAACTGGGATTCTGTTCCTTGCAACTGGGAGAGGCTTAGCTGGTAGCATGCTTCTGCGTCCCCCAGGGGAATAACTCCTTGAGCTCCTGGAGTCTCCGCCTTTGCTTAGATCCTAGGACAGTGCCTAACGGCATCAGGTGCTCCGGAAACTGGGCCCGACGGATGAATGAATGGATGCTAGTGGCCCATCACGTATGCCTTTGCCGCTTTTTCTCCCTGCCGTCAGGTGGCCTATCTACAAGAGCCTGTTTTCCTGTGAAATGGGAGAAGATAATTAACCCTTTGATTGTGTAGAAATTAAGGGTAAAAAATTGACTAGAGGATTCAGATCCCTGTTTGAAGAGAAAAGGTAGGGCAATGGAAAGGAACTAAGCGTACTTAGTATTTACTTGCACACCAGATTAGATACATTATTTCGTAAAAGTTTTACAACAACCCCACAGAGTGGGTATCATGCCTATCTTAAAACTGTGTAGACTAAGGCATGGGGTAGTCAACACTGCCTGAACTTTTACAAACAGTAATCATTACACCCAGGGTTTGATTGAAGCCATCCTAATAGATGTCTGGGGGTATCTTGCTGTGGTTTTAATTCGTGTTTCTTTTTTTTTTTTTTTTAACGTTTATTTATTTTTGAGACAGAGAGAGAGACAGAGCATGAACGGGGGAGGAGCAGAGAGAGAGGGAGACACAGAATCGGAAGCAGGCTTCAGGCTCTGAGCCATCAGCCCAGAGCCTGACGCGGGGCTCGAACTCACGGACTGTGAGATCGAGAGATCATGACCTGAGCTGAAGTCGGACACTTAACCGACTGAGCCACCCAGGCGCCCCTCTTTTTTTTTTTTTTAATTTAATTTATTTTTGACAGAGAGGGAGAGACAGAGCATGAGTGGGGGAGGAGCAGAGAGAGGGAGACACAGAATCCGAAGTAGGCTCCACGCTCCCAGCTGTCAGCACAGAGCCCGACGCGGGGCTCGAACTCATGAACCACAAAACCATGAACTGAGCCACCCAGGCACCCCTTAATTTGCATTTCTTAACGTCAAGGGTCTTTTCATGCACTGATTTGCCCTTTGTATCTCTTGTGTGGTAAATGTTTGTAAATTTTTTTTATCCATTTAAAAAATTGATTGTTTATTGGGTTGGTTTTTATTGGCTTGTTATTGAGTTTTGAGAGTTCTTTTTATATTCTGGATACCAATCCTTTTTTTTTTTTTTTAATGTTTATTTTTGAGAGAGCATGCAAGATTCAGGGTGGGCAATGAGACAGGGGGACAGAGGATCCAAAGCGGGCTCTGCACTGACAGCAGCAAGCCCAACGCAGGGCTCAAACTCACAAACTGTGAGGTCACAACCTGAGCTGAAGTTGGACACTTAACCAACTGAGCCACCCAGGCGCCCCTGGATACCAGTCCTTAAAAAAAAAAATTTAGGGGCGCCTGGGTGGCTCAGTCGGTTAAGCGGCCGACTTCGGCTCAGGTCATGATCTCGCGGTCCATGAGTTCGAGCCCCTCGTCGGGCTCTGTGCTGACAGCTCAGAGCCTGGAACCTGTTTCGGATTCTGTGTCTTCCTCTCTCTGACAACCCCCCCCCCCC